CCCCAAAACCCCAAAACCCCGATTAGCTGACTATGAAAAAATGCAACACTTAATCATAATTATTAATATAGTAAATGTCAGAGTATCTCTAATATATTGGAATAGTTGGGAAGTATATTCTAGGGAAAAGAGAACCAAATCACTTAAAGAAAAAGAAGATAGTTATAGTTGGGGCTTCATTTGCAGGAATACATCTCACTTAAAAACTTCTTCAATAAGATAAGGAAGAGTTCTTCGAGATCCTCTTAATTGACAAGAATGAATATTTTGAATTTATGTGCACTAATACCAAAAGTTTAGTTGATGAGACTTATTTTGATAGGACTACTTTGAAATTTACCAAGCTGAGAGAAAGCTTTAGAAGTTCTAATGTCATCTTTAAGAGAGGGAAATTAGTAAGAGTGTCTGATAAAAGTCAAACCATTGATATTGAAGTTCCTCAAGAGCAAAACATCTCAACATAGAATATTCTTGAGGTTAATGGAAAATCTGGATAGGCTAATATTAATTATAGCAAAGTTTAGCATATCTAATATGATTTCTTAGTTATTTGTACTGGATTTTCATACTCTTAGCCAATTAGAGGGCCCTATGATGGCAAAACTGATTTGCTATCAAGGAAAGAAAGTCTTACGAATACTAAAGAATAGATTGACAAAGCTAAAAGCATTTTGATTGTTGGTGGTGGTCCTAATGGAGTAGAAATGCTAGGAAATTTAATGTAAGGTCTCTAGGGAAAAGGAAAGAAATTGGGTATAATGACTAGAGCTCCAAGATTATTATAGACTATGCCTTAACAAGCCTCAAAGATAGCTGAGGATCATATTAAAAGTTAAGGTGGTTTTGTATATGTTAACACTGAATACAATGAGGAGATTAGAGCAGAACTCAACTATGAATTGGTATTTGAATGCACTGGGTATAATTTTGATCATACAAAAAACTATATGCAAGGAGAGCTAGCATATTGTCTTGATTCCTAAACAAGATAAATTTATGTGAATGAGTATATGATGGTCACAAATTTAAATCCATTGGAAGAATAATCGACATTTGATCAGAATGGCAATGATAAATAGCGAACATAGTCTAAGGTATTTAATAATATCTTTAGTCTGGGTGATGTATGTCTAACAAGATTAAATGAAGAGAAGTCTATCGTCCCAATATACTACTATACTGATGTAATTGTTGCTAACATTATGTCTATGAGTAAAAAGTAAGATGGTAATTAATAGAAATTGAAAACAGTCCCAGAGGTTATACCTAGATTCTATGTGATTCCTTTAGGATCTGAAAATGGAATTCTAATCTGGAACGATTTCGTCTTAAGTGGCAAGCAAAATGTTTTGTTAAAGAATATGATTGAAAAATTAACAATGGGATAGTTAAATAACTCTAGAATTATTGATGGCATAATGAAAGTTAAAGACATTTCTTAATCTGCTATGTTTTGGTTATTCTCTATCAGACCATTATAATGTTTGCCTTGTCATGAGAGAAGAGCAAAAAGGAGAAGTAACCCAGAGGAAAGAAAAGCTATCAAATAAAAGATTAAAGAACTTGAAAGCATTCAAACTTAGATTAAGAAAAATTTATGACCAATTAAAAAACTGATTTATTTCTCATTTCATTAATTGTGACTTTGATTGATATTTTGCCTTAAGGGGTTTTGGGGTTTTGGGGAGATCGGAAGA